TTTTATTTAATCATATAGGTAATTATTAGTTTACATATATATGTCCATGTATAATGCCTTCTTTATGAATAAATTAGTCTTTTCACTCTCAAAACACTTTCAATTTAATTTCTAAGATCTTTCTTAAGTCCAATGAGTGGATCTATAACCTATTGAAGAAAGAGAAGTAAGAAGCTATAACACTTAGAATTAATAAGGTTGTATCCAAGAAAAGTATGGAGCAAGATGACTCTTACTTCCAACACTCTTTACTTATAGTTAGAGTCTTCATTTAGAATCATATTTATCTTTCTTTATTACATCCAACTAAATCCTAAATTCCTCTTAATCTACCAGCCACCTAAAATCTCAATTGCCACTATAGTAACTTCTTTTAATCTTTTGGTATCTTTTGACTACTAGCAACAATTATGGTTTAAGTCTATGTAGTGGTAAGTATATAAGATCTTGTTAATCTTCAATAATATTATATATACATATATATATATATATATATATATATATATGTTTATATATTTAATGTAATTTATCAAATTTAAATTTTTTTAAATATATTTTATCAAACTTAAAAATTCTTTTAATAATAAGATTTAGAATGATAAAAAAAATCCACTTACATTCAACAATATAAGTAAGTAAGTAGTAAAAGCCTATAATTAAAGAATATCTTTTTTAAGACTTTATATTTAAAGTTGAAAAAATCTTTTTTGAACTTTGAGTCATTAAAATTGATATTTAGGAATAAATTATCAAAAATACTAAAATAAAAAGATAATTTATAGTATAATTTAAATATATATATATATATATATATATATATATATTTCATAAAATTTTATAGATTTTAAGTATTATAATTTGAAAAAAATCACATAGTAAAAATATTATGAATATCAAACAATGATAAGTAAATTTAATTATTATACCTAATATCATAATCATATAGGTCAAAAACATTAGATGAACATAATAGTTCTAAATCAAAATCAAATAAGTTTTTAGTTGATGATATCTTCCTATCAAAATTTTATAATACCAATGTAAGTTTTAGCGAGTAATTTCAAGTATATATATCAAATAATTTGAAAAAAATCCATAACATATCTTATCTTTAATACTATTTCTTTAAATTAAATATTATTTAAGTATTAAATAATTTTATATTTATTGATATTAATAATAATAAGATCTATATTATGTTCAAAATATATCTAATATAATATTACTTCTTATATTGTGATTGCTTAAAATAAAAAGAATAAATTATTAAACTTTTAAATTTAATTTATCTTTAGAATACCATACTTAGTTTATTTTGAAAGTAAATAAAGTATATAGATACTAATATACTTAAAAGATGGAAAGGATAAATTGAATAGATTCTGATAAGAATTACTTGTAAGCCAATAAAAATGAGACATACGTGGTTGATATCTTAAAGGAAATTTTGTGCTTAATTATTACTATAAAATATAGTTTTATATTAATTTTATAATTTTAAATATATATATATATATATATATATATATATATATATATTCAATCTTAATTAGATGATTTTTTTATTCATTTTATTTAGTTAATTTATCAAATATAATAAAATATATATATAAAATATTTTAATATGACATAATATAGTAAACTACATGTTATTTTATTTATAAAATATCCCTTGATTTATCATTATTTTGATAATCAATTATAATTGAGATAGAAAATCAAATCAAATAAAAATAGCTTCATAATATGTATATCTATAATAATAATTATAATAATTATTATTTAATCTATTTGAAATTTTAATTTTTTATTGTTATAAAAAATCTTATATTTATTACATAATTGCATTAAAGGATATTTTAATAATACTAGTTTTATTTTTGAAATATATTTTTAATATGTTGAAAGTACATTTAATATTTTAACATTAGATAAAATTACATAAATTATTTTTTCTAGCCAAATCTTTTATAAATTTTATGTTTTTAAGGATAATTTATTTTTAAAATTTAAATTATTTATTTGATATGTATTTATAATAATCTACATTTAAATTTAGATAATATATTTTTATAAAATTCAAATTTTAATAGTTTAATTAAAAAAAAGTGTAGTTTAAGCATATTTTGGCATATTAATTTGAATATTATTAATATTTTTGATAATTAAAATAATTTGGTAGGTGGACATCCCTCTTTTATTCCACAAACATCCTCTTGCATCAAATATTCTTACATATATATAATAATTTTTTTATTTATACTAAAATAGTTTAAGATGAATTTATAATAAAAGATTTTAAAATAAAACTTCTAATTTTTTTAGGTGAATGAAAGTTGTTTGTGAAATACATTATACTTTTAAAAAATTAAATTAACAAAAAAATAAAAAAGTGATAAGCCTTTGAATAGAAATAATTCACTATAAATTTATCCTAAATGTATTTGGTATAAATAAGAGTTCTAACACATGTATGCACAACTATGTAGGATAAGGTAAAGATAGAAGGAGGGGGGATCCACCTAGAATTTTTTTAATCTAAGTATATTCTATTTATTATTAAATTACCAATTTAAATGTAATAGTGTAATAATAACCAACTTATTGTAAACAATTAAATTTATTTTATTTTAAAGATGGCACCAAAAAATTATTTAGGATTATTTGAATTTAAGGTTAATATAAGTTAAAAGTGGATTAATAATATAATCTTTAATTTAGCATATGATATGATCCTATCAATATATATATTTTAATAAAAAATATAAATATATATTATTCTTAAGAAAATGATAAAGTAATCCAAATTTTTATTAAATCAAACCACATGTTTAAATCATCATTGTACCCTTTCAAGCCCATTTCTAATTATTTCCTTGTTCTGAACCATTGCCCCCATTCTTAGCCTCCTCTCTCCTACCCCAGTCCTTAGCAATGGTTGAAAACAAGGAACGACTAGGAACATGGATGAGGACTATAAGGGTGCAATGATGGTTAAGATAGAGTGGAACACTTTAATAAAAATTTAGGTCGCTTTAACATTTTTTTATTATTACTATATATATATATATATATATATATATAACTTTGCAATGATTTAAATATTAGAGTTTTATGAAATAATTATTTATACACAAAGAAACTATATAATAGATAATAGTTCTTGTAGCAAATTAAAAAAAATTATACAACTAATAATAACTAATTATACTTAGATATCTAGAGATTTTTTTTATTTTAACTTTTATTTTTTTTCTAGTTCAACAAACAAATAAAAAATAGTATTGTAAGATTCCATTACTTTGAAAAAGGTAAAATCTTACAACTTAATTAATTTTTAATAAAAATAGATATGTAGAAAATTTTCATAATAAAATAATAGAATATTATAAAAAGATTGGATTTTTAAATTATTTTTTCTTTAATTAAATAAATTTTACTTGCCATATTGATTATATTTTATATATTCTAAATTTAGAAAATATAGAAAATTAAAATATTTGAATAAATCTTACAAATTGTAATAATTATGAGAGTCTTCGATATAATATGAATGTATAAATTTTATAAATTTTTAGTTAATAGACAATGAAATAGTTATTTGATTTAATTATTTTAAATATTAATATTTTAAATATTTAATTTCATAGCTAAGAAATTTTATTTCTTTACAATAATATTATTACATTTAGTGCAATAATTTTTTTTATTGTATAATAAATATATTTTTATTACATATATGTTGTTATTCCAAAAAATATCTTGTATGCTTAGATCGAATTTAAATTCTATATTTTTAGAGAGAATATTTTAACTTTGTGTCTCTTAGATAATTTATTTTATCATAGTTTTTGTAAGAAATTAAAAAAACTATCTTACATGATATTTTAAATAAGTACTTGAGTTCGTATATATATATATATATATATACATATACATATATACACACATACATATAACTCTTATAGTATTATGTTTTTTATAATTAAAAAATATATTATTTATAAAAAAAATAAAAAATAAAAATATATATTCATAGTAATCTTATACTTTAATACTTTGTCAAAACCAAAGTGCATTTAGTGACATTTAACCAAATCTAAATATTCTCTCTCTCTCTCTCTCTATATATATATATATATATATATATATGTTTTTACATCATTTAATTTTAAAAAATAATATAATATATATTTTAAAAATATTTATTGATTAAATAGCATATTTTTATAATTCTTTTCCTTAATTTTTATATGATGAATATTTAGAGGCACAAAACTATATATATATATATATATATATAGAACATGGAATATACATCTATAGATAAAATATTGATCTTTCATATAATTATGTATTTTAAATACACATGTATTTATTTAGATATATTCATGGATCTTGTAAAACCCAATCATTCTGTTTATAGTATAACCATCATTATAATTAGATAATTGTATCAAACCAAAAAGATATAAAATTCTATCTCTCTTCAACAGAGTTATATTTGTGTTCTTGATTTGGTGAGCAACTAATTTGTAAAATTCACAAGTCAAGATTGTTTTCAAGGATGACCTTTTTTTTTTTTTTACTATTCAATTTAATTTATTTTTTTTGAAAATTTATCACAATTAGAAAATTACAAATTAATAAAACTTGTGTTAAAGATAAGATATAATTACTATGGAGGAATATATTTAAGGAATTCCTTATTCCACATATATTATGAAGGAAGACAACTAATGGGAATGACACAAATAATGAGTGGTAGTGTAAGCATGGGTTTGGACTCATGCAAATAATGTGGCAAAAGCATTGCTAAGGAAGGAAGGGAGGGAGAGGGAGGAATGAATGGATGCATGGATGTATGGAGAGTTGGATGAATAAGGGGAGGAGTGATGAATGGAACGTGAATGCCTCAAAGAAGTGGTAAGCGAGGGGAGGGGGGCAAGGTAAGAGGAAGCCATCCCTCGTGCTTACTTCGGCACTGCTTCTACCACTACCACTATTACTGCTACTGCCTTTCCCTTCCCCTTCTCTTCACTTCCTTGCTTGCTTGGACCTCCCCTCCCCTCCCTTCTCCCGCGCCTCTTACCTCTCCAGATCCTCGCCCTGCTCCCTTGCTTGCTGCCTTCTCTTCGTTGCGCTCGCTCGCTTGCTCTCCTCCTCCTCCTCCTTTCAGCAGCTCCTCTCAGGAGTCGGGATCCCACTCTTGTGTGCTTCTTCCCACACTTCATCGCCCCCCTCTTTTGTTTTTGTTTTTGTTTTGTTTTGTTTTGTTTTTTTTTTTCTTTCTCTCTCTCTCTCCCTCCCTCCCTCTTTAGATCCTCACTCCTCGCTCCTTCCCTCTCTAGATCCACTTCCTCGCATCCTCCCTCGCGCTTCCTTCCTTCCATCTTCTCCCTCTCCGTCTCCTTCTCTCTCTCTCTCTCTCTCTCTCTCTCTCTCTTTGCTCATAGATCCCCCGCCGCTCTTTCTCACTTTCTGCCCCATTGCTCCCTTCAAATGTGGCGCCAATGCACTCCCATGTCGTTCGACGCAACCCGTAGCGGTATTTATCAATGTAGAAATTAGGACCTCTTGCATTGGGATTGTTGTCTTGCAGCACTAGCTCTGCTAATCAGGGTTTAGTATAGGTTAGGAGTGAGAGGGCTTCGGATCTGCAGAAATGAAGGGTGGGATTGAATGTCAGACGTGCGGTTCAAAGGCTAGGCCGATTTCTGTCGCCTATGATCGACAGCGTAGTATTAAACAGCCAAGATGGAGGCCACTCAACGTTCTCCTTGTCATGGGCGACTGCACACTTATTGGTCTTCAGGTACATTCACAGACTTTTTTCACTCCTTGAGTGCCAGAGTAAGGACACCGCTGTGAGATCCTGACCTACGCATCATTAGCAAAGGCCTCCCATTACCTATTCTAAGATTTTAACTTTTCAAAAATTCAAGTTTATGTGAGGACAAGTAGTTAAAAGGTATGGAATGTTTAACGTATGAGATGTGAAGTCATTTCTTCCCTTAGCGGTAGAAAATGGTAGCAATGGGGTGCACTGATCAGAGATCATACTGAAATGCATGTTTTACCTTTGGCTGTTGTATTCAAACACTATTGTCTTCGGAGTAGCTTTAATTCCGTGAAGTTGTAGGCATCATGTGGAGTGATCGCGAAGAGATTTTTAATATACTTAATTCGCTTACCTTGAGATCGATAATGTTTAATAATTAACTTCGCTAGTGCACTCTATTAAGGACAAATTGCATAAATACTTACGCCTTTCTTCTTCTTGATTTTGCTTTTGCCGTTTTTCTTTGCAGCCAATATTGGTGTACATATCAAAAGTGGATGGAAAGTTCCTCTTTAGTCCAGTGAGTGTGAACTTTTTAACTGAATTCATGAAGGTGGTTTTTGCCATCGGCATGATATTATGGCAGGTGAGTGCGTTGTTAGACTTATGATATTCTTCATCTTGATCTTACTGCTTTTCGAGGGACAATCCTGTAGTGAGTCATTGCGAATTTGCATTGATGAGTTACCGTAGGACTTCATCTCTCTCTCTCAACAGGATTTATAACTTCGTGTCCAGAGGGTATTAACAGGTTCGTCGTATTGTTCCTCAGCAAAGCATTGTGATTGATTGACACCGCTAAATCTGCTTGCACCACTAATGCATGCAGTTTTCCCTGAATGTGCAGGCTCGCCGACAACGTCCAGGAGAAAGGTCATTGCTTTCACCAAGTGTTATTCTAACGGTATGTTCTTTCTCCTCGATGTTAACTACAGAATACGCACATATTATTTAAACTGTAGGTTTTCAAACCCATGGATGGAGCTTTCGTACCTCCATACCGTTTTTGAGTTTCATTACCTCACGTTTGTCTTATAGCGTGTGTTTGTTGGCTTTAGTTAGCTACGCTGAGTCTGTTTCATGACGTTTACTGTGATGGATTGCTCTGGTTAACGTTTCCCTGAGAGCAGTTGTTGTTTTTCCTAGGACGTCTTTTTCGGGGGGTCACTCTCTGTCAGAACAGACCGGTGTCTTTGAGTACGGATTCTGAAAAAATCATAATGTGGCTATTTTTGTTCTGATTCGTGGGTTGCACATGCTTCTGGACGCAGGCAGCGAGGAAAAACTATCTTCTAGCTGTCCCCGCATGTTTGTATGCCATCAACAATTATTTGAAGTTCATCATGCAGGTGCATTCCGCATCATTCGTCAATTATACAGTACTTGATAGAAGCTGTCTCCATGTCTTTGAATGAAATTGTGGCAAATGCAGTTCTCCTCCGTTGTTGATCTATGTTGGGGTTATTTGGCAATTTTGCAGCTATACTTCAATCCTGCAACCGTGAAGATGTTAAGCAATTTAAAGGTGAGTACGATCTGTGTGCCTTTTAGAAGCTGATGGGAGTCTTTCATCCAGTTCGTAAACCTCATTCGTTTGATGCACCTATTGTACTTATTTCAGCTGAAAGTGTTATGTGTTTTATATAAGCAAGCATTGTACCGAGTTTTACAATTTCCATCCGTTCTTTGAGGAAGGTATTAATGTGTGCTTAAGCTCTGTCTGAGATTAAGTTTGGTGTTATCAGGTTTTGGTAATTGCCTTATTGCTTAAGGCGATCATGAAGCGGCGTTTTACAGTTATGCAGGTTTGTTCCTTTATGATGTCTTTCAACTCTGAAGTCTATGATGTGTTTTGGATTTGGAACGTGTCCGACTTGTAAGTGCATGGGGATTTGTTATGTGAGTTGAGGCTATGGCTTTTTCTAATTGTCTGAATTGATTTGGGGTGCAGTGGGAAGCTCTTACGTTACTTCTTATAGGTATCAGTGTGAATCAGCTTCACACAACTCAACAAGGAACAACTGCGCTTGCTGTTCCAATCGCATCAGTGGCTTACTTTTATACTCTCGTATTTGTAAGTACATTGTCTTCAAAGTCATATGTTGCACATCGCCCGCTGGCTGTTCCTATCTGCCATTGCCTTATTATTTAAATCCTTGTACTAAATGTGTTTCACTTCTGCCTTCTCTCGCTTTTATGTACTTATCCTATTCATTCGTGAGCTTCTCATTACTATGCACCATCATTGCAATTTTAGCAGACAGATTTCCATTAGCGTCGAAGTAGCTGTATGGTGTGAGGACCATTGTGTAGAGAGAATTTGATTTTTTTAATGCTGGGCAGTGATGCATTTTTACTTCTCGGTTCTTGATTTTTTCATCAAGTTATAGTCAATCGAAATCTTTGAAACATTGGTGACATACAGGTGACAGTCCCGTCATTGGCGTCCGTTTACAATGAGTACGCACTTAAAAGTCAGTTTGATACTAGTGTTCATCTGCAGGTTTGGTTCAAAAGCATTTACACTCTGGAAACTTTATATGATTTTGTGCTTTTCTTAGGGGTGATTTCTAGCACGTACTCCGCTTTTTGGTATTTCTGATTGGTGTTAAACATGCAGAATTTTTTCTTGTATGCGTATGGAGCAACATTTAACTTCGTTGCAATACTGGTTTCTACCATCTACCAAGGTTAGAGGTTTCCTTTCTCATCTTTTCTTCTCTTTAACCTGTTTCTTCTCCTTATCTCGTCCTGTTGGTACTGTCTGTAAATTTTAAGACAGATGGGTCTAATAAGCTGACTCGATATGTTTTTAAGTAATCGCCTCTCAATAGTTTTCGGTGTATGTGCCGTTGGAGCTGGGGCAGGTGGCACAGGCTTCAATCTTTTGGAAGGGCATTCGAAGGCCACAATGTTTCTGATCATTAACAACGCAGCTCAGGGTGTTCTCTCTTCTTTCTTTTATAAATATGCTGGTAAGTTGCTGGCCAGCATTTCTATTCTACACTTGCCGACTTAGAGTCGAGTTATAGTTTAGGATAGTTGTTCCGGACTCGTGGAACAAGCGGACCAAGCACATACATCAATTCTGGTTTCACTGAAATTTGTAACAAGTGTGAGCAAAGGAAGTTCTGAGACTTAAAATTTACTGAAGTTTTCTTGAGATTCTGACGAGATGCACAAGTGCTTCAGGTCGTGCTAACTGAAATCTAAGTGCTTGGCAAATTATACTTCCTTTTATTTAATTTAATTTAATTTAATTTATACATGGCAAATTTACATTAATTATACCTCCATGCTAACACAGTATTAAGTGGAATTCTAAGGTATCTAGGAGGCGCTGTATGTAGAGTATTGATAAAGCGTTTATCCAGATAACCTTAATTTATCTTATAGTTTTGTTCATGTATGCATTGCAACAACCCAGAGGGAAAGTATTTCCCATGCGCTCAATGAACTCAATAACTTAGACATAAAAAAGAGGAATCTTTTGCTGGCACGTTTTTTTGTATATATAGTGATTTTTTGCGTGACACATTTGCTTTTCTTTCACACAGACACAATTTTGAAGAAATACTCTTCAACGGTTGCAACGATTTTTACGGGACTTGCTTCAGCTGCACTGTTTGGGCATGCGCTCACCATAAATTTTGTTCTCGGGGTTACTATCGTTTTCATCTCCATGCATCAGGTTTGGTTGATTATCCCCTAACGTACCGGTGCTATGATAGGAGTAGTCCTAGTGAGTGCAGCGTGATAGTGGGGAGCATCTGCACATATATTTTTGTACTTGTATCAGCATATTTTGACATGCACCTTGTGCTAGGTACTTCGGTTTTTCCTGGGAGTAATTGAGGAATCTAACATGATGAAACGTATTGTTGTAGTTTTTCTCTTCAATTTCAAAGCCTCAAGTAGAAGACACGAGTTATACACATTTGGAGCCAATGGGGCGGACCCTTGAGTAAGTCGCACATTCATTCATAGCTTTTTTTTTTTTCCTCCTTTATCCTGTGAACTGGTTTTCCGGGTCAACAACCGCCTTTCTCATGTATCTCTTAGCCAAGATGTCCTTATTGTCGTTGCGCTTAGGTTCACTTCGTAAGTTTATCCAGAAAACTGAATTAACTTGTTTGATTTTTTCAGCTCTAACTCTGTGCTTTCTCTGAACAGCAAGAAAGACTCATCGATTGGTGATTTAGCTTCGGTTGCGCATCAGGAAGTAAGTACTGTCTAATCTTCAAATTTCTCACTTGGATCTCTTCATTCCTCACTCATTAACAAGCTTACAGTTATGTTTCTGTCCATACGGAAGCACATGGTGTCCTTTATTGTTGGGATTATTCTATACCTTACGTTGAAATGTAGGATACCACCGTGTTATGAAGCTACGTAGAGCCCAGTCCTGGTGACATTCGTAATTCTCTCATTGTTCTCTTTATTAGGTCTGAATTTCGGTACATTCTTTGTTGAGGTATTCGTCTCCAGTTCTGCACCTGTAACAGCGTTCAAGGGAAGATTACTTGGAGATTCTTATTGGCATGATTCTGATTTCGTCGGTAAAAACCTTTGCAGGGAAGTCATACTATTTCAGTTAGAACGGAGAGAGAACCCCTTCTTCCTAAATAAGGGACGCTTGGGTTTCAAATTATTTTTTCATTCGAGCTGCAGCAGATGTAAAACTATGCCAACAAATATTATTTAACTAGCTAGCAACATTCATTGGATATAAATGAATATGCACTCAGTAGCCGCCATGTGCTGACTTGTTAAATGTGCGACAAGAAGCATGTGGTCAAGAGCTGCACTGGAATCAGGATTGAAGTTTACGTGTTTCCATAATTCATCAATGAAACTTTCAAAATAGATCCTGTTAGGACCTTCAAGCGTATCCAGAATCTTGTGTCCTGAACAGTAGCTATGCGGCAACAGATTAGAGAGGTGTGGAGAAACCAGTTCCACATCTTGGCTCGAGTAGGACCAGTGTAGGAATTTATCAATTTTTTTAGCATATGCCGAACCATTCATTTGTTCGATCTCTGAATGCAAAACTTTTTCTTATCAAGATTTTTAGCAAATTCTTACAATTGTTCTGTTATTTGGGTTGCGATCTATTGGGTTAATTTTTAATGAGTAGCGAAACTTGAAAATTGGGAACTAGTGTGAGTTTCATTCGGGTGTGCTCTGGATCCAACTAAAAGATCCCCATCCCTTGAAATAGTCTTTTATCCTCATTTTTTGTTCACTCGAGGTTATCATATATTTTAGGCATGTAAATTGTATTCAAACTGCTGTGAGAATTAAATGGATGTGGTTGCTGATTTCATGACCTTTAAAGCAGCAACTACATTTCATGTATACATGAGCTTATCCCGAGTTTTTTCAACTTTTTACTTAATTTGTGTTTTGATTTTTGAGTACTAAAATTTATATGCATCTTGATTGTTTGAACATGTATATACATGTACAAATATATAATTTGTTTTCTAGCAATAATGTCAATTTCCAGATGTTTTTGAATATACTAACTAAAAGTTTGAATACTCTAATTGGGTTGTTTTGATTTTTCAAATTTTAGTGATAAAAACTAATTTATGCACAGATTAAAAAAATTAAAAAACATCTTTATATGTAGATTTGGTTTTAAATCTATATTGCATCAATTGTTTTTGGTGTTATATCAAATAAACATCATAGTTTATCATGTGTTGGCACAATGTTTTAATTTACAACTGATTTGAAATAAATAAAGAGAATAAAATTTATTTACATCCCCCCTCCTCCCTCCCCCTCCTTGTGCCACACCCCCCACATACACACAATAATACCATTGTCATATCATTATTTTATATTTCACAACCTTGGCCCTCCAAGAATTTTAGATAGTTGCATTTATCATGCCCAATTTCTCTACACTTACCACAAGGCTTTCTTTTCTCATTTTCCATCAACTTAAATAAGGAAGGTTCCTATTGGTTCCTATTGGGTGTAGTCAACCAATTGAAAAAATTTCTTTGATTGATTATTTTTATCAAAATGACAAATATTGAGTAGCAATTGTTAATATATATATATATATATATATATATAGATCTAAATTGTATAATCTAAGTTTAAATTCCATCACAAATATAAGCCCTTATTTTAGTTTCTTTTGTTGCTATTGTCTAAAATGACTTGGTTGTTGTTTCAATAAGTTCTCAAGTGTTAATTTGTATATGGTTGTAATTTGATGCTGTATTTAATCTACATAGTTAGATCTTGTTTTTTATTACTAAAAAAATGATGCTCATGAGTTCAAATAGTTAAAATTATAATATATTCACAATGGAAAGTAAATTATGTCATTTCATTAGTTCTAATAAAGATAGATACCTTCATAATTTCAATCTATAATCAAATATTTGGAAAGTGCCAAAAGATCATCCATTTAGAATGTATATCAACATGACGTTTTTATAATGTTTAATATTTTAACCATTATAGAAATATTGACTTAAATTGAATTAAAAGGAAGCAATTAAGACATCAAGATGCAACTCTTGACCTTTGCTATTGCTTTACAATCATACAATAGAATATTAAATATTAATGATTTCATACCAAAAATTGCAAGTAACAAGTGTACAAGATATAAAATTTCTCAACCAATTATCAACCACATCCATTCATTCTCTCATTCATCCATATTTTCATATTCCTTGGTTTTTATGTTTTTTCATTCCCATATTTGTTTCTATGTTCTTATGTTTTCATGTTTGTTTTTATTTTCTCTTTCTTGATTTTTCTTCTTTATAGCCAATCAAAAGACTTTTTGTCTTTTTGTATTATATCCAAGATATCTTATATTATGTGTGTATATATATATATATATATATATATATATATATATACACTTAATTCTTTATTTTATAAATTTAAACTTCAAATTAAAACAAATCATGTTTGTTTGTATTCATCCATTGATGTATCTATCTAAATTGTATTGCTCTTGTTGAGGTAAAAGATAAAGATGAATAGATAATAGTTAAAGTAGAATAAATTACCTCGTAAAGGATATTACCTTAGGTATGTTGTTAATGGTCAAAGGCTCGACTCTTAGCATATAGAAAAAACATCCTATGGACTAAGGATGCGGTCAAGGACAAAGAGTCAAAGTCAAGAGGATAAAGTGTGTCCTAGGGAATATCCAAAGAACTAAGTAAGAGTAATTAGTATATAGCATAGGATACCCTCATGGTATGTAAGATGCCATAGGATCCTAGGATCCTTGGATACCCTCGTGGTATGAGCCAAAGGATCCAAGGAGCATATGTGTAAAAGTCAAATGGTGGAAGAAGTCCTTTTAGGGCAGCAACCACCACCTATAACTAACGAGAGTTGGAAGAGAGAACCATCTCATTCCACACTTCTCTTATGTGCAACCTTGCTGATTTCTACTTACTTGTGTTATGCTTATAGTATTCTTTTCTCAATAGGTTATGGACCCAAACACTCTTTGTTGTGCTATTCAAGTAAGTTGAAGTCATTTTCTCTTTATTGCTTTTGTGTGGATTAGATCTTATGGTATTTGTTGATGTTAGGTTTGTTGGTATAAGGAGGCTATTGGTATTAAGCTTGTACATCTCTAACATTGCTTTGTAGGTTCTAATCTCCTTGCTTTGTGAGGTTAAGACTTTGTAGAAAGACCTTGATAGTGTCTTTTGAATTGGTGAAGTTTCTTCATTATTCTTGAGTGTTTTGATGAGAAAGTGATTAAGACGAGTGATTGTGAGTTCCATGAGGGTGCAATTACTTGTAGAAAGCTTCACAAGTTGAGTTGAAAGTGTTTTCAATGAGATACCACTCTTTTGTTCATAACAGGGCATTCTGAGATTTTGCTAGTGCAAACTTCGTTTGATAATTTTAAGCTTTTAGAGACTCTTTTTCTCAATATTTTTTGATACACTCCTCCTTAGACATGGCTTCTAGTGAGGGTGAAGGTTTGAGAGTGATTGAGAAATTTAGAGGCAACAATTTCTACCATTGGAAGGTCAAAATGGAGCTTTTGTTGGCATCTTTGGACCTTTGGGATATTGTAGATGAGAGTGAAGACCCTCCAAGCATAGATGCAAGCCCTAAGGACCACAAGGACTTCAAAAGACGTGAAAAGAAGGCTTTTGGCATGATTGCCACCAATTTGGATGAAGCCAACTTTTCTCACATTATCCATTGCAAAGGACCAACGGAAGCATGGAAGATACTTTGTAACATATATGAGAGCAAGAACTTGTCCAACATCCTCTTCACAAGAAGGAAATTCTTCACTTGTAAGATGGAAGAAGGTGAAGACCTCATGGCACATGTTAATAAGGTAAAGGCTCTTGCAAATCAACTAGCAATTGTTGACAAGCTTTTAGAGGATGGTGATATTGTCATGACTCTCCTCATGAGTCTTCCCGAGTCATACAATTACCTCATTGTGGCATTGGAGTCTTTGAGGTTGAAGGAGCTTACAATGGACTCTGTGACATCAAGACTTGCAAACGAAGTAACTAAAAGGAAAGAAAAGGAGCATCAAAGTGAAGATTCAGCTCTCTTCTCAAGACAAGGCAAAGGTACCTATTCCAACCACCGTGAAAATATGAGAAGCAATAGAAGAACTTGCTTCATTTGTGGAAAACCGGGTCATTTTGCACAAAATTGCTACAAGGCCAAGAAAGGAGATAGAGAAAATACTAACAATGCATTTGATGAAGTTGGTGGAGATGATTATGCATTCATGGCAAGTGAAGGCACGTCTATGGCTGCCATGTCCAAATGGATCATTGATTCGGGTGCTACCAAGCACATGACTCCATACAAGTGTTCATTTGACACTTATGAGACCATTCCAACAACAAAAGTATGGTTAGGAGATAATGGTATGGTGCAAGCCATTGGAATTGGCTCTATTATGGTGGAGATTGTTGTGAAGAATCAAATGAAGAAGATCAGATTGAAAGAAGTGTTACATGTGCCAAAGATGAAGAAGAACCTTCTTTCGGTGAGTAAACTTGTTTCTCATGGTTGTAAGGTACAATTTGATATGAATGGATGCTTTGTGAAGACAATGGATGGAGATAATCTTTTGAAAGGCTTTAGAGATGGCAATCTCTACTTCATCAATTGTAAGAAGGTGAATGGAGTTGAAGTGGCGGCATTTGCTGAATTTCCACAAGATCAAGACAAGTTTGGTATTTGGCATCGACGCCTTGGTCATTTGAATGCCAAAAGTATGAAGGAGCTCCAATCCATAGTTAGTAGCTTAGATCTTGGTCAATCATACACAAATCTTACTTGTGAAGGTTGTATTCAAGACAAACAACAAAGAGCTTCATTTCCAAGTGGAGTTGCAACACGTGCAACCAAATTGTTGGAGATTGTGCATTTTGATGTTTGTGGACCTATGAAGACACCATCAATGGCAGGATTAAGGTACTTTGTTACATTTATTGATGACTTTTCAAGGAAATTGTGGATTTTCATCCTTAAATCCAAGAGTGAATGTTTTTCAAAGTTTAAGGAATTTAAGGCACTTGTGGAGAAGCAATGTGAGTGCAAGATCAAGATGTTGCATACAGACAATGGAGGTGAGTATTTGTCAAAGCATTTTGATGAGTATTTGAAGATTCATGGTATTGCAAGACAAACTTCCACTCCCTATACTCCACAACAAAATAGAGTTGCTGAAAGAGCAAATCGAACTATTATGGAGATGGCAAGGAGTATGATTCATGCTCAAAACCTTGGGCATGAATTTTGGGCGGAAGCTGTGGTGAATGCAGTGTATACAAGGAATAGGTGTCCTACAAATGTACTTACATCAATGACTCCACAAGAAGCTTGGAGTGGGAGGAAACCTTGTGTTTCACACATGAGGACTTTTGGATGCATTGCTTATGCAAAAGTACCAAATTGTATGCGGTCCAAATTTGATGCAAAAGGTACAAAACATGTGTGTTTCTTGGATATTGTGAAGGTACCAAGGCATATAGGCTAATG